TACTTCCTTTTATCTTATATATAAATAAAAAAATAAATCTTTCTATTAGTACTTATTTTATTAATTTTCTTATCTTTCACCAATTTTATTATTTTTCATCTTTTAGTAGTTTCGCCAGTTTCGACAGTTTTGCCATTTCGCCATTTTCAATTTTTTTTCTAAGTTTCGCCTAACAACACTACTCCAGATGCAGTAAATATATGGGCGAGATTCATTCTACTTCGTAGGCAAGTTTATCATTGCATTCTTTTATTATTAAATCAAAAACATTAATTGATTCTAAAACCAAACACACTTTTTTCGAATTTCAAAAACAATGTCCATAAATCTTTTTATTACTATGAAAGTGAAAATATATAATTACGTACGTACACTTCCCTGACAAAAGTCACCGACTTGTAAATCATTTTTATAATAAATACTGAAATCTTTAAAGACTAAAATTTTCATTACCGAATAAAATTCTAATTTATATTATTACAAACCTTATCGATTATAGTTTCCATAAAATGCTTTCTTAAATTTTTTAGAGATATCAGTCTAATCAAGAAATGAACCTTTTCAAATTTTTATAACTATTTAAAAAGGTTTACTTCTCGATTAGACTGATGTTTTTAAAAAAAAATTAAAAAATTTAAGTATTTTATGTAAACTATAATCGATAAGGTTTGTAATAATATAAATTAAAATTTTATCCGATAATAAAAAAAATTTAAATACAAATTTCGATACACGTTCGGATATACAGAAAATGTTATGCTTTTGATACGAACTTCATAACGTTTATGAAGAAATATTAAACACGTAATTTTAGGTCCTCATACACTACGCTCGATTTTCGGAAGTTGACACCGGATGGATATTTGGTCAAAGGTGATCTGAATTCGATCGTATCTCTATTGTTTACTTGTCTCACTCGATCCTACAGCCCTTTGCAGTACAATTTGGGCTCAGTAGACCTTATTATTTATATCGAAAGCAGTAGTATAATAAGTCATTGCTGGATATAAAATTAGGATTTTCTTTGTTTGTAGTTTTGATTCAATTTACCTTTAAAGTATTATTTATGTTGTGCCTCAGATTAACACTAACGCCAGATTTCACCTTGGACTGAGTTATGTCAGGTTTGGCTATAGCTTAGGTTAATCTGTTAATTATGGTTAAGTGATCATTATCTAGCTGACACCTGACGCAAGTGTTAATCTGAAGCACAACTGCAGAATTTGGGGGTTTTTTTTTTGTCAGAACAGTCTACAATGGACAAAATTACAATGGACAAAATAAGTGATCATAATGACCATTTAGTCTAAATTGGTTACATTACATAATTGTAAATTAATCCACAGCTGTTTAACGCGAGATGTTACAATCCCGATATCTAATTTTTATAGTTAAATGGGATCTTTGCTAGGAAATCACCCTCCGACATTTTCTGGTTGCTAATTCGGACAAATTTACTGATATGTAAATCTTTTACCTTATTGATTCAATCGCTTGTTGAATAAACTTTTAATCAATAAAGGCAAATTATGATTTACATGTAAGTACCCAGAATTAGCTGATTGGAAAATGTGATTTTCCTACATAGCAAATCTGCTTTTAGATACGTGTATGTTTATTCTATAAAGCACATAAAGTTGTATCCTTTAGCCCAATGTAAAAAACATTCTTTTTTTCAAATAATCATTAAACACTATGCCTGGAAGATTGAGTGCAGAACAAGTAAACGAAGTAATTAATAATTACATTACCGTTACTACATCAGTCGATTTAATTTTATAATAACTAGGTTGTCTATTTAATAATTTTTCGAATTATTGACTGTCGTAATTATTACAGGCATTTAAACAATTCGATTATAATGATAACGGTATCTTGTCCCTTGCCGAAATTGATAATGCAGTAATCTGTCTTTACCCACAATTTGCTGACAAAAAACCTGTCCTTATGCGAGCTTACAAAGCTGCCGACGCATCAAAGGTTTGTCCAATAATCTAATGCCTGCTGACCCTTTAATTACTTCACTTCCTATTATCAATTTTCAATGCTTGCAACTGTTACCTTTATTGTATTAAACTGTCTCGCGTTATTATGTAATTAGGACGGATTCATTGAACGAGACGAATTCCCCCGTCTCATTGAACTTCTTTATTATTACAATGAACTGTACGATCTTTTTCAGCAACTTGATAAAAACAAAGATAAACGTATTAGTTTTGAAGAATTTAAAAAGGGATATAAGCTTATGGGAATATGTCGGCTTTCAAACGATGAAATTAAGGCAGAATTCGACAAAATCGATACGAACCATGGAGGATATATCCTCTTTGATGAGGTAAAACTAATCATAATTTTTGGGTCCGTATTATTTCACCGACAATCATTTCACCAACAGCTCATTTAACCGACATCACACCAGGCTACAATTTACT